TCCTGCGCATGTGGGCATACGTGCAATAAAGGGATAGAAGCAAGATTGTTTATCTGATAAGCATCTGATATCAGTAAAATGTCTGCAGGAAATGCAGCACATTCAGATAGCTGACAGTGACCTGCACTGCCAATGTGGTACATGGATGTAGCTCAGGAGGGCTTTTTTTCCTGTAGATTTAGAGGATGGATATTTTTTTTTTTTCCTCCATGAATTCTGGGAGTTGCCGAACTGAGTCACTGGCTGAAATTCAAGTCTTTAATTAAAGGCTTTTCTCCCTTCCAGAGGCAGTTCTCTTCTCTGCAGTTGTCTTCAGGAGGGGGGTGCAGTCTTTGAATCTTACAGCACGTTGGCTTTCTAGACATCCTTTGTATAGTAACAGCATGTGCTGAGGGGCTGGCAGCCTGTAAAACACTGTCGCTCTCTTTCACTCTGGCTCCCTCCCCTCTCTGGATCTGGTGACATTACATAGATAGATGTGCTTGCGAGAAAAACAGCAGAAGGAGTTGAATGTCTGCCAACAATCTCCAGCATGAAGCGGAGTTGGCTGCTTCCAGTCTTGTTTTCCCGGATCTCTCATTGTGTGCACGTATTCTTCACTTGCCAGGATTTTCTTTGCTGAACAAACACACCAGCAGCGAGAACTCTCCATCCTTACTATAACGCTGTCTTCGACACAGGCTGCTCACCCTCTTAATCGAGACTCGCTGTAACCCCTCTAACATTCAAACTGTTTTATAATGTGAAATATTAATAACAACAATTGGAGTTGATTGGGCTTATAAAAGTGCATTTTTAGTATTTGTTTCTAAGAGGTAACAGAAACGAAGCCTTCCGATTGTGAAAGAAAACCTCTTGCTGTGTACAAGCAATCCATCCTGCCGTCTTCCAAAGAGTGCTGATTTCATAGACCCTTAACTTAGAGGACGGTAGTCAAGGAGAAGAAGCTGGATCATAGGAAGAGAAGCACACAGATAAAGAAAGATGAGTCCAGGTTTTTAATAGTGCTGTGACTTTTTAAAAATTCTTTTGGAATAAGGTAACCACACATCAACTTCCTGCAGATGTAGGATGTATGAAATAGTCTGCTGCTGTGTTAAGGAAGTGCTAGCACTCTTTTTTTCCAGCTAGTTGGTTGCTTTGATAAGTAACATAACAGGGTGGCCAAATTGGCTTATCCAATTATCCAGCATCGGCTGTTGGTTGAGGACAAGTGTGCTGAGTAAACTCATTTTCAGTGAAGAGAGAGCTATTCCCTCCTCTCCAGGCTGCAGAAAAGAAATGATTATTTGGGGGAAACTATAATGTGTAAGTCAGTTATCCATTCCAATAACATGAATTCACTGTTCCAATCTAATGAAGTCCGCTCACTGCAACATGCCTTGCACCATCCAACCGTTTTTGGATTAGACACTTGCCCTCTGAACTACACCTTTCTTCTTTGCCCCTGGTTACTCCAGGTGCCACATTCAGTCATCCTCTCAGTTTCTGAAATGTAGCTACGCTAGTTAGTATGATGCATTGAAAACTTCAGGTAGTCAGAAACAAGTTTTCTTTTCTTTTTTTTAAAAAAAAGAAAAATGCTTATCTCAGAGCTTATCCCTTTTTGGCCTTTGTTAGGCCACACAGGCCAGGTTCTTGCAGGCTTTTGCAGGATAGGCTCTGTCATTTCCTTGAATACCCTAACAGCCGTTCTCTGAACACAGGTGACCAAAATGAGACAATCTCTTACCAATTCCTTGTACACTGGCATTAGTACTTCCTCCTCTCTACTCAGAAAACATCCTGAGATTGCATCTGAATTTTTCAAAGCTGCATCCCACTACTACCTGACAGTCATCATGTGATCACCTGATAAAGCCTGAATTTTCTCTTCCTTGACAGTTTCCAACTGATGCACCATCAGCTTGGAGAAGACATTTTTGTAGCCCTTAGGTGCACGGCCTTGCACTGTGTAGTGCTGTATTTCTCCAGCCCTCAAGGTCATCCAGATCTTCCTGCGCGATGCCTCAGTCTTTCCTGCACTGACAATGCGCCAAGCTCGGTGTTGTCAGTAAATTTCATTAGCGTGCTCCTACAGTTTGTGCCAGAGTCATTAGTGAAAACATGACAGACCAGTCCAAAATCCAGTCCTTGGAACTCTCCGAGGAACCTACATTTAGCATAAACTTGTCTGTCCCTTAGCCAGTTTTACAAACCCTGTCATCTTCAACTTAACTGACACTTCCCTTGTTACAGAGTATTTTGCCAAAGCCCAGACAATGACACCTACCGCATTGCCCTTGTATAAAAAGTCAGTTTTCTTTTCAAAGAAAGCAACTGAACTGTCAGTCTAGTTTAGTTCACAAACTACTTATCCTGATTTTTTTTTCAAACTTTTCCTTTGAAATAAAAAACCTTAGTTAGCAATTGAGTTCAAATTGAATCAGCTTGTGGTCATTTTATCTAAGATGGTCTGTGACCACTTCTATAACATGCTCAGGACCACGAATCAAGTCTTCTGTGTGTGGCGCTTTAGTGTGCAGGAGAGAACGGGCATAAATCTAGTTCTGTAGTTAGGTTTGCAGGCCTGGACCTCTGCATATGCACAGGCTAATTGGATGTTATTGGGTTATTGTACATGCTATGGGGTTCATGCTCGTGGAGCTGACCGCAGAGAGGGGTATGACATGGAACGCCACACATTATGCTTGTCACTTAATTCCCTTGCCTTTATGTGGTCTCTTTGAAACAGCCATGGGTAATCTCACCTCCAGTGGAAGCCAGAGTGCTGCAATGTAATTTTTGTGGGGCCTGTGATCCCACTTGTAAATGCTGCCAATATCACTTCAGATCATGACCAGTGGTTGGGGAATCGCTGCTTGACAGTGGAAGCATCAGGGATATAATTGCCTCTCTTGTCTGTAAATCACTTTGTACTCTCTTGGTGCTTTATGTTTCATTAAATACAGCTCTTTCAAACTACTTTGGCATAATTCTTAAATATTAGCATAATACATATCAGAATCCTCAGAACCATAGACAGTGCTCATCTGCGGTTCCTTGTGTCTTTATCTGGTACTGGCTGGATACTGCTCTGTTGCATATGCACGTTTCCTGGTGCTACAGTGAGTGGGGAGTCTGCTGGCTATTTAACTGCACCGCCACTTTCTTTTGACATTGTACAGAGTAGTGACCTGTTTCCATATAAGATGCATTAGCAGTTCATATTTCCAGGTGACAGCTTAGTGAGACTTGAACATTCCTGTCTTTGAAGAGAAGATTGGAAATCCTTCAGGCATATTTTGAGGCATGTGAAATCATTCTTTTATCATCTTAGTCCTATAGAAATGACACTTCACTAGACAGAAACCAATGTAGTTTTGTTGAGATATGTGAGAGAGTGAGACTTGGGTTTGTTGCAGAATAAGCTGTTGCACTTTTTAGATCAGTACTTTTGTCTCTGCTTTATTGTAACAAAGCAGTTTTATGGTCAGAACAAATCCATGTGTGCTCTTAAGTTGCTTAAGTTCTGCTTTTTGAGCTGGTAAAACACCTGCCACCTTTGAAACTTGCTATCCTAATAAAAAAATCACATTTCCCAATTTGGATGTCATTCTTGATCTGTTTTCTAGCTGTGTTTTGTTTCTGCAAAATAGGATTTAACTCAAAAATTAAACACAAGAGCATTAACAGCACTTTGGCTCCTCATTGTGCATGAATCAAAAATCTGTAATATTGACTATGCAGGAATGTAACTATCAGTTTTACGCGTGGAGACACGGATACCATCTGGTCAGTAAAACACTGACGACTAGAGTCTCGTTATTCAATGCCATGTCCAGTCGGGTGCCTGTTGCCAACCATTGTTTCTGCAGTGTGTGGGGCTTTTTTCCTTCCCTTATATGCCTCGCTCCTTTCTGATCAAGAAATCCCTTACTGTTTGTGAGGTTTCGGACTATCCAGGATAACAGGATACTCAATGACTGGCATCCTGCGCCTAGGCAGGAATGAAGAAAAGAGATTTGTGTGCGCCTAGTGTCATTCTCCTCTCCCAGTCCCAAATGAGGAAAATAGCTCCATGCACAGGTTGTTTTTCCCCTTCGGTACTGTCGTGTCCCAGGGTGGATAGATCAGTGCCTGGCTTACTGCGCCTTACCTGAATGGAGGAAAGGGAAGGAAATCTCCTGGCTCAGTCTGCCTGTGAGAATTTTTTTCACTGGGCTTTTCTTAAAATCTTTCCTGAGTTAACCTGAGAGGTTGGCTTCATACAAGAGCTTGGAAGGGGGCAGTGGGGGTTGAGGGAAACAAGGTTTGAAGCGGTCACTCTGTGTCCTGCTGTCCAGATTTGTTTCTGTCCCTAAGATGCAGCATAAGACATGTCTACTGTACTTGTCTGGAGTGGCTCCATCTGGCGGACACTTCAAAGAATACGGCTCAGTCCGTGTGTAGTGTGCGCTGTGAACTGAAGCCTGCACTGGTGGACAGGAAAGACAACCAGTTATATTACTGCTGTGCAAATAGCAATAAGCTACGCCAGGGTAGGCAGCCTCCGGCACGGGTGCCAGAACATGGCATGCAAAGGCATTTGGCTTGGCATGCATGCTTCGGGACACACAGCAGGAAAGGGGTTGGGGCCGCACTGCCACAACAAGGACTGGGCCCATTTTGGCTCTTTCTCCATCCACCCCTGGCACACCAACATCTTACTATTTGAGGTTGCAGGTGTTTTTTGGCACTCTGCTCAAAAATGTTGCCAACCCCTGAGCTAGGCTATTCTGGAGACTTTATGCTAACAAGAACCCTGAAGGTTTAGCGTTTTCACATTTTTCAATTTTGGGGTACTTTACTGTTTCTTCTGGTTTTCATTAGACGTTAGTTTTAAATGAATTCTTAAAGGCACGGGTCTCAGGTGCAACTTTTCTCTTGCATGCTGTGTAATCTGTTCTTTGGTTTGCATATGTGGACAGAAGGTGACGGGTGGATTGATGGATGAATTGCTATTTGCTTTTTCCCCTCAGCCGGTTGCTGAACCAATCCCAATCTGCAGTTTCTGCCTTGGTACGAAAGAACAAAACCGGGAGAAGAAACCCGAGGAGCTCATCTCTTGTGCTGACTGTGGCAACAGCGGTAAGTGACTATTTACAGTTCTCTTGGGAACAAGTGTGTAGCTGGGAAGAAGAGTGTGATGTCTAGTGGAACATCCCCTGGGCACTCTCTGTTTTGGGGACCAGTTAGATTTGGCGGCTTGATCCTTCTGCATCTTCAGCTTGTGGGACAGGTTGAGGTTAATTTGGTACACATGTAGTTCTGTCAGCCCTTGGTGAACGTCTTCAAAAGCAAGTTGCCGCACGACCAGTTTTATCATCCTTTGCTCCAGTTCTGAAGAGTAGGTTGGCATGTGCTGACAGGCTTTGCTGAAGGAGCTGCCCTGACCACACTGACCCAGGGTTTGCAGAGACACCTCTGTGAGGAAGCTGCTGGGGGACAGAACTGGGAACCACCCAAGATTGACTCAACAGCTGTGAATGATAGTAACTGATGGAGTCTGAGAGCCACTTTGCACAATGTTGGCAGTCCCTGATTTTGCTAAATCTGGCTCCTCTTATGGATTCATGAGTTGATGGATCTCAAATGGAGGGCCTGACATGCTTTCGAAACTGCCTTCTAATGCGTGGCTCTTAATATAATAATGTATGGCATCTCTAATCAGTCATAGGCGTAGAAATCTGAAGCAAGGTCTCAGAGGCTTTAGGAGAAATGAAATGGGATGGGAACAAACCCTGGCTCTTCTGTGATATTCATTATCATTGTCTATGCTCCCAGCCTGGTCCTCCTCCTACCTGAGCTGAGGAAGGTAAAGCCAGGCTAAAAAGCCTCAGCCCAGCAGAGGAATAGACTTGTACAGTCATGTTCTTCTGGTCTTGCTGCTGATGTCACACTGAGAAGCTCACTAATTAATAATGTTATGATTAGCCTTTGTCACTCACTGCACTGAGAGTTTACTTTGTTTTGCCTAATTTATATACTGTCATAAAGTGAATCCCATTTCTTTGCTATTTATTAATGCACTGCTCAGTACTTGAATGTTGTATGTGTCTTGTTATTTATGTCCATCTACCTCTTGAATATGGGTCTTGCTGCATCTCCTTGTTCCCTACTGCTGTCACCTACCCCCACTCTGCTTCATCTCCCTACTTCCTCTCTGATTTCAGCTCCTGGATCCAGGTTTCTCTCCGTCTCTGGGGACAGCAGGTCCTACATGTTTAACCCCATGAGGGGCGCGAGGGAGGGAGTTTCAATTCTGGAGTCATGATGTTTTTTGTCTCTGACAAGTGTTTCATGCTTGGCCCCTGGGAGGGCCATATACCTTTACACTTTCACCATTTGTTTCTAATATTTGTATAATAAAGGTTTAAGAAGTCAAAGCCCCTCTCTCTCCTACTCCTTCTCATTTCTACCTCTGGCACTCACCCACTTCAGCTTCCAAGGTGATGACTCATCTGACCTGATGGCCATGTGTCCCCTTGCTTGCCTTCTCCTCATGTAACTCGCAGTCTTGGATCAGCTCTCCCACTGAACAAAACGGCTTGCACTGGTTTTCACCACACCCATTGATCTCTTAGGAATAGTCTTCATTATATGTTCGCAGATTGCTCACAATGGAACCATGATCCATGACTGGAGACCTTAGGTGTTGCTTTAGCGCAAGTAATATATAGCAATGCAAAGCCTCTTACGTGTGTCTCTGTAACTTCATGCACTTCCACATGACTGCAGAAAATGCTGTCAGAAACACTGACTTTCAATAGAAACCTTGCACCAGACTCACCTGTTCTTGTTCAAAATTTAATATAAACAGCTCAGCCTGCCTGTTTCCATGGGAGAGCATTAAACATTGCCCCCAAATGTCTTCAGTGCTGTCCATAAATGTTCAAAACGGAAAGTGGCTGCCAGATTTTATCTCTATTTCTGTGCTGTAAATAAGTATGAGCAAGAGCTCCAAGTACTGGCAAGACTTATGAAATACAAGGAGCACCTGGGTGACTGAGAACCTGCATGTGAGATATGACTGATTATACCTCCTCTTCTACCACATGCATCCATGAGTACTGACTTCATCAGGAATGGTTTCACTTGGGGTTGTTTTGTCCTTCTTCAACAGGTCATCCGTCCTGTTTGAAATTCTCTCCAGAGCTGACAGTTCGAGTGAAAGCCTTGCGATGGCAGTGCATTGAATGCAAAACGTGCAGCTCCTGTCGAGATCAGGGCAAAAATGCAGTGAGTACTTCAAATAATGAAGTGCCTGGGCTGGGCCTCAGTTCTGTGAAACATGGTCTGCTAAATCTTGGCTGACCAAGTAGTTGCAGCTTCTGCTTGACTTATTTGGGCCTATATAGTGGGACTTAGTGGCATATATAGTGGGACCAGTACTATTGTATGTTTGTTTGGGAACTTGACGTGGCTTTTCTGGGCCCAGTGACTAAGTGAGAACAGAGCCTGCTGCAGTCTTGCAGTGTGAGGTTTACCAGAGCTGTCTGTCTTCCACAGGATAACATGCTGTTTTGTGACTCATGTGACAGGGGCTTTCACATGGAGTGCTGTGACCCACCTCTCACCAGGATGCCGAAAGGTGAGGGGTCTGTCTGATCAGAGGGGATTAAAAGGGATGCTGGAGGAAATGAGTGAATAGAAAATGCCTACCTATCAGGAAATTCACGTTGTCTTTCCCCACATTTGTTCAGTGCATCACCATTTTCCAGGTTTTAGAAGCCTTAAACCTGCTTTGTAGGTTGAGAAGAACACACACATTTTATGGACCAACATTTTCTTCCTCTCCTGCTTCCAGTATGAAGGATCAGAGTGTTTTAAGAAGGGCTTCCAAACCTTTCAGAGGTCTGAGGGGACGGGGCTGATGGTTCTAGTTTAGCAGAATTGACTTTTATGCAGTTGGTTTGTGGAGATAGAGGAGACTGGCAGGTGGTCCATGAAGTAATGGCAGGTATTTCTATTTGAGCAGCTAGTAGCACCTCTGGAATGGAAGCTAAATTTATGTGCCTTTTGGGATAAGAACTGGCTGTGGCAAGGAGTATGCCAGAGTTTTCTTGAGTTGTGTGGAGATGTCTCCATCTACTCTGAAGCCATTGTCCTAAAGCAAAGTAGGAATTCGTTAAATGGGTTATCCTTGTGCATTTTTCTTCTCTTCTGATAACCTGTTGTTGGGTACAGTGACACACTTAAGCATACATGTAAAAGCATACATTTAAAAACTTGCTGAAAGAGCCTGTCTGGCAAGAGAGCCTGCCAGCAAAGCAGGCTTTGCATTTAGAGTGCTTGGACAAGTAAGTGCCCTTCTTAACATATTACAGTAGTTGGAGCCTGTCAGACTGTTTCTCATACTTGTGGAAGGGGCCTTTCTTTTTGACCTGTCCTTTTTTTCCATTTTCTGATGGGACTTGTATCTTTCAGGTATGTGGATATGTCAGATATGTCGGCCACGGAAGAAAGGAAGAAAACTTCTACACAAGAAAGCAGCACAGATAAAACGGCGCTATGCCAATCCAATAGGACGTCCCAAAAATAGGTTAAAGAACCAGAATGCAGCGTAAGTCATTTGAAAGAGGAAAAGAAAGGGCTCCTATAGACATGCGGGGAGCCTGCTTCAGCGCGCTGGAAATCCAGCGCTTCCATGCAGACTTGATTTAATAGAGTCTGCTGGAGCATGGAAATTGCGCTCCGGCAGCCTTCCGCATCGCGTGTATCAGTGTCCTCGTGCTGAGAAACTGGTGGCAGGGCACTTTGAAATAAAACACATTTGATGAGCTTTAGTTCAAAGCGCTCCGCCACTGTTTTTTTCAGCGCAAGAACTCCGACACACATGACATGTGGGCACTTTTAATTAGTGCAACTTGCTAATTAAAGCGCCCCATGCCATGGCCCAAAGCACATGTAAAATGCCCAAAGTGTAAGCTACCTGGGGCTCCTTCAGGAGATCAGTATATTCTCTGTTCTCTATGGGATGATTTCCTGAAGAAAGACATCTCTGCACAACACACAGTTTCATGCTTTTCTGTGCTGGATTGGTTTCCTCAGGAGTACTGTATCCAGTGAGGGTGCCTGTGTAGTGCTGCTTTGTCCCTATATTGTGTCCTTTTACTGTAATTAAGTACGTGGCAGTAAAGACCATGCCTTGGACTGACTTTGCCAGTTTGTAGCAAGCCTCTGTTGCTGTGCTTTCTCAACTCTGAAGTCCTGAAGCAGTACTAGTGTGAGTTAAAAAAAGATTGATCCCCCACACTGACACAGCGAAGGAATATTGTAAACATCTTTTGAGGATCTTCAAGGGATTCTACTGTTGGAGCCAGCGGAGGAAGGATCTGCATCTTTACCTTCCTGTAGCGGGGAGCTTTTCAACACCTTGGATTAAATAAGATTGATATATCATCTGTGTGGGTAGAAGGAAGGCTGACTGTTCCTGCATTGTCACCACTGTTCCATGTATTTCACGTTTTGGCTTCAGAGTGTTACAAAATCTAGTCCATGCCTCGAGTTGTACACAGACTCCAGACTTGCTTTTAAGAGTCCTGTTTGTTTGTGATTTGCAAAGTAAAACTTCTGAAAAGGAAAGCATCAATTGATTCCATTTGTCTTTCCAAGTCAGCAAACAGCCCAGAGCAATATTTCTGCAAAGTGCAAATTGCCCTAATCATCACAATGGGTTTTTTAAGTCTGATTCTAAAGGATGACAGTGTTGATATTGGTAGTCTGAATTATCTCATTGAGATCATCGCAGCACACACAGTCAGTTAAATATGCACGCTCCACCGCCCTTACCTGTCAGTCCTAACCATTTGACACTAGTTTGCTGGGAATTTGAGTATTCATTCATTGGATTTAACAGTAAAGTGACCATCCAGTTCTGCCTATTGGCCATGTACCCGAGTTCCATGTTTCATTTGTTGTATTTAAATGTATTGGCCATGACATTTCCAGCGAGCAGGGATAGTCCTGTAATTTTGCAGTGGAGCTTAGGCCCAGTCTGCTGTGGAGTACGCAGGACTGAGCCCACCTCTTTTCTTATGCTGCAGTTGTTGTCTATGCTCTGTGTGGTTGGCATGCTAGATAGATACCAAACCAGTTAAAACTCACATAAATCTCTCTTTCTCGCCAACCTTGCTGACCACCCCTTTCTCCCTTGTGATTTTCAGATCAAAAGGTCCCTTCAGTAAAGTTCGAACTGGCCCAGGTCGGGGTCGGAAACGCAAGATCGCGCTCTCCAGCCAGTCAGCAGCAGAAGGAGGGTATCTGGAACAGACGGATGGCCTGGACTTCTGCCGAGATGGAAGCACCACCTTGAAATTAAACAAGAAAACCAAAGGGCTCATTGATGGCCTTACCAAATTCTTCACCCCTTCCCCTGATGGACGGAAAGCTCGAGGGGAAGTGGTGGACTATTCTCAGCAATATAGGATCAGGAAAAAAGGCAGCAGGAAATCTAGCACTTCAGAATGGCCCACAGGTAAAAAAGAGTGGTTCCCTTGCCAGTAAAAGTATCCTCATTTAATCCAAAGAAAATGTCTAGTATTGTTTGGAGGGAGTGAGTAACTTGGGGTGCCATGTTCAGCCGGAGGAATTGTGGGTTGAAGCTCATGCAGGGAGGGATTCGCTTCTTGGGTCCTTCTGAATAGTGAGGTGGAGACGAGGAGAGGGGGCAAGCAACTAAAAACGACCACATCAAGGCTGAAAGATTTGACACCTGTGTTCATAGGCCATGTTCAGAGGGGGATGGAGTGCTCTGAACCATGGCAGGGTCTGCTTTGTCCTGGCTCTTTCCTGCATGCCACTAGATGGCACTCTGGAGACCATTAACTTGGCTAAGGTTTCAAGCTGGCTCTTCCAGCTAGAGGGTGCAGTCCATCTTTGCAAAGTTTGTGAGCCTGCACCTTCTTTTCAGTCTCGCTGGATGATTACCTGTATTATGCCTCCAGTAAGGTTTTCGTTTCTAAAGCACCAGAAACCAATGAGACTGTCAGCCGCTGACCACCTGCTTAAACTACCGTATTCAAGTGATGTGTAATGTTTGGCAATACCATGCAGGAAATAACTACTCTTAAGGCGTTATGAACATTAGGCAAGTTGACTGTAGTTGGATAAATGGCAAGTTAATGTTTGTAGGATGGAACACAGGGCAGTCATCTTCACCGTTCTCAAGCAAGCCTTCACCTAGATGTGAACTGCTGATATGCTGCAGAAAAGTACACTTGCACGCTGCAGGAAGACTGTGTTGGCTCCATGGAGTCAAGGGGGTTTCTCTTGTGGAAAGTAGTAGGAAAAAGGTGTTCTCTGCAGAGTGTGAGCCTTACTTTTCACACTCGGATTCTTCATAAGGGCGGGGATTGCTTCCAGTGGTTGGTGCATGAATATCCTAGTCTGTATTGAGTGAGGTAGAGAGAATCCAGGTTTAGGTGACTGGGACTTCTGTTGCTCAGAAGAACAGCAATAAGCTATATGCAATGTCTTCTTTTAAGTCTTTGTGGTGTGCATATCATCACAGCAATGTGTAAAGCTTCAGAGACCAACCAGAGCCAGAGTATTTGTATTAGTTCATTCTGGGCCACCAGTGCAGAACAGTCTCTTCCTTTGCAAGTCCAGACAAAAGTTCACCACCACCTTAGTGGCAAATTGATTCAAGGTAGATGACGATTTCTTTTTAACAGAGGAAAGAACACTTGTGCTTTGCTAAGGATCAGTAAGGACTTTCTTTCTCATTTACAGACAATCAGGATAGCTGGGATGGAAAACAGGAAAATGAGGATCGGTTTTTTGGGAGCCAGGAAGTCCTGACTGAGAAAGATATGGAGTTGTTCCGAGACATTCAGGAGCAAGCACTGCAGGTAAAGTCAGTTTCTCAGAGTCTGGGAAAGTTTAAGCCTGTGCAGTACGTGGAAACATGGATAAAAAGGACTCCTACTGGTGCATCAGTCTGTCAGCAACTAATGGTCCCTGTCCCCATTGACTGAGAAAATTGATAGCAGTGGGTAGCTGATTCAGGAAGACTGATACTGGTTGCTGATTTGCATCACCAACTGCAAATATTCATGGAAAGCAGAGGTTTGTGCACTAAAATCATGCATTATACTATTGCGTGTCTTGCACTTTGACCACCTAACGTGCCCTCTGCCCACTAACACATATAACAGCAGCCTACAAGAGAAAGTTTTCCTCTGTCTAAATGTGGGAATTGCTCAGATTTTCCAATGAAGAAAACCCAACGCAACACAATAATCCGATACTGGTTCAAAGGCCATAACTGTCACAATTCAATTATAGTAGTTAATGGCAGCTTTTTTTAAAGAAAAAAATGTTTTATTTCAGAATTGTGTTGTACTGGAAAGTGAAACTTTATGCTCCTGGAAAGGGGAGATCCTTAGATGCTGAGTTAGGATCTACTTGAGATATTGGACTTAATCATGACATTTTTAGGTATTTGGGGTCAGTCTGAGTGTGCAAGGGAGTCCACAAACGACATCAAGAATAAGTAATGGCTGTTTCATACTCTAAATCTGCTCTAACCTTGTTAGAGCATTCATGAACTTTTTTGGAGCATTTTTTTGCATATCCTTATCTTCAGATCATGGAAAGTTTTTGAAATGGGTGCCTTTGGCAACAGAAAACCCAACCACATGTTCTCTGAGTCTCGCCCTGCCCACCTGACGTGAATAAGGTCTCCTGCGGGGTTAGTTCTGTTCTACCTGTCTGTCTATTCAGCCTGTCAGCAGGTAACTATAATGAAACGAGTATTACTGCCTTAGCATCACTTGGTGTTCGCAGCAGCTTACAGATAAACTGAAAGAACAGATCTCCACCAGAAGTAGCTTACACTGTTTTAGGCAAAGATCAGATAGGAGCAGCAAACTGTCACTGTGGGTTGCACTGGGGAAGCGGAGGGCTGAAGCAAAAGATCGTAGGATGTTTTGGATGGATGGACGTCATCTGTTCATCTGTGTTTTTACATTGCTGTATGTTGAGGTGGCTCAAAGTGCAGTGACCTGGCAGATCACAGGGCCTGAGCACAAAAATACTGGTGAACAAAGTGAATAACCTGTTTCTTCTGAGCATAGTTCAGGTATCTGTCTTTTGACCGGTGCTTCTTTCTATCCTTAAGATAACTATCCTTGGGTAGCTTGTTCCTCTTTCTCCAGGTGTTTTGGCTTGTATTTGTTTACCTTTGTTGTACCATAGTAATTGGACTGAAACCAGCCTAAATATAGGCACTGTATACAAAGAGGGTTAATGAATAATGAATTGTGATAAAACTGAACTAAACTGCAGCATGTGATAAACCAGACAAATGCAAAGCGAACTATTAACCCTTCCAAATTGGGTATATACGTAACCATGCTATAAAAGATTTCTTATTATTTACCTTGTCACATGAATAATTAAAGTAACAAAACAACCTCTAATAAAACGCTGCAGTGACTAGCCTTTGCAGAGAACGTTGGCTTAGATAAGCGAAAATCTAGAATTAAGCTTACAAGAGGCTGGACAGAAATGTAACTAATAAGCATACATTTCTGACCAGAAGTGGTATGAACAGGAAACACCTTTTGATAATATGTATTCTAGAGTTAATCAGTTGAAATAACCTAGTGAAGACAAATGTGCACTTTTAAACTGAAGTGTCTGGTTGACTTTGGCAGGGATTGGGTTAAAGCAGGATTGAGATGCAGCTGCTGCAAACTACATGTGTACTGTAGTGCTGAGCTACAGGCTGCACCTGAGCAAACGGAAATGCACAAGCAGAGGAAAGTAGCGAAGGCTTCTAGTGAGCAGAGGGGAAGCAACTGAGTATGCAAGTGCGTGAGAACAAAATAGTGTAGGGGCAGACCACAGCCAGCTTAGGAGTTGTTCAGCAAGTCTCTGTGCCACGGTTTTCTCCTGGCCACTGTGATGTGCAAGCAGCTGTACTGGAGCTGGGTCTCTACTTTTTCATTGGGCATTCATTTGGAGGAGAGGCTGATCACGGAGAGAAGGGCGCAGACACAGAAGGCATTGCCACAGGTGCATATTACTCTTTATTCTTCCTCTTTGAATTTTGCCGAGGGGGGTGGTGAGGGGTGCCTGTGCTGGTCGCCAGCATGGTGGCGTTCCTGCAAGCTGTGAAGAAGAGGCAAGCGGTTTGGTTGTCCTGAGTGAGACTAGCGATTCCTTTTAGAGTTTTGGTGCAAGAGATGCTTCAGTGTGGATTGCAAAGACATAAGGAGCTCTCTGTTCCTTTCATAAAGCAGTCTCATGGTAATATGGCTTCTGGCAACAGGTGAAATTCTCACATTGTGCTCATCTATTCTGAAGTGTCAGGTGATTGTGCTTTGATTTCATCATGGGGTCCTAATCCTGGCATAAGCTTTTAGCATCAAAGATGGTTTTAATCCAGCTCGAGTGGGTATTTTGTCTTTTGTTAAAAGCTGTTCTACAGTTCAAACTAAGATAAACTGGCTTCTTTATCTTGCTCCCTTCCCATTAGGGAACTCGAGACAAATCCCCAGGCCTCCTGCTAAAGGAGAGAGGGGCCTAGGGAATCAATCAGCGAGCTTCAGCAAAGAGCCATTTTTCCAAGTAGTTGAACTTGGGATCGCATACAGTGACTCAGTTATAACATTTGAAGTTCTTTGGTCAGCCTCTGACAAGCTTTTCCTTCTGTCTTGTCATCTTGGGTAAGAATGGAAGGTGGTACGAGCAACATGCTCCTGGTACTGAGGGATCTATTTGCTCTTGGATAAACCTTTGAGGCAGGAGGCTCCTGTATCTTGATATTTGCTGTTAAAATGTGTGTCCAGGATGCTGACGAGAGAGACTCTAAGCCTTCCTCCTCCTGCACCTATTATATGAAATGGAAATCTCTGGATCTGGGATATCACCACCTCAAGCCGTAACCCATGGATCAGGATGTTTGTAGCTGTTCCATTTTGTTGGAATACAGCTATTTATAGGCACTTCACTGGCACTCTTCACCCCAGTACCAGACCACCTAAGTGAGAAGTGGTTTCAGTTATTAATAGCCCCACACTCCAAGCTCAGTCACGTGACAGCGGAAAGTCAATGGGAAACATTTGATGTTAACTGTGCATGCCAGAGCTTTCCATTGGAGAGTGGTCTTGGACAGTAAGATTGTAAAACAAAAAACAAAAACAAAAAAACCAACATTAAAGCAGGGTGTGTAGTTCCCATATTCCAAGCCTCACGTCTTGGGCAATATGTTTGCCAGCAAATTTGGACAAGGATATGGCTGTAGGAGTTTGGAAGAGGAAAAGGACCAAGTATTGAAATATAAGCTAGGGAACCTGCCCAAAGTCACCAAGACAATTTGGGAGAGTTAGTCTGAGGTAGCCTTATGAGACGTAGGAGTCAAACCAGGAGATTACTGTTAGTTCCTGGTATGGATTTTATTTGTACTGCCTTTAAATGTTAAGAGATACTTCTCTAGAAAGCACCAGGAGAAGAGTTGCAGGGGTGTAGGTTGTAGCTGTGTTGGTCTAAGGACATAGGCAGACAAGGTTCCTTGGGTGAATTTGATATCTTTTATTAGACCTTTTCATTCCATCCAGGAAGAGCACACACCAACTGCTGAAACTTCCTTAGCCTGAGGAAGGGTTTTTGAACTCGAAAGCTTGCTTAATAACTATTCTCCAACTATTTGGGTTGGTCTAATAAAAGATATCAAATTCACACAAGGAACCCTGTCTGCCAGGAGAAGAGTTGCTTTTTCTGTAACCTTGTGCCCACGCTGGTACAAAACAATGGGTGAATGTGATTTAAATAAAACTCCATGTTTATTCTTGATGAAAGGTCTGCGCACGTGTTCTGGGAATTGTGTTAAAATACCGCAGTCAACTAATCTCCAAGGTCACTACATATAGAAGCTTTTGCCTGGAGCTTGGAACCCTGTTTTCCAAACTTGTTTCTCATGGGACTAGCAGTGCTGGTTTTAAAATTCCTCGAATCCATTGACAATGATCCTGTAACCTTGAAACCAGTGATGAGGATTCTTTGCAAGCTTTTTATGCTATCGCAGTGCATGTCACTTCTGTGGTACTCACTGTTTCATTGACTAGATAAATGCTGTATCTCCTGAAGCTGCGAGCGCAGTTTACCTGTTGCTCTGCTAATACGTTAAGGTCATAGGCATGTAAACGCATATAGATTTAAAGAAGATGAGAGCGATTGTTCTGCGAGTGTCTGGGGCTGCTGCCTTGATTGACATGAAGAAGTTTGCTAGCTCTCCCTTTTATAAACTGGTTGCCCTGCACAAAGAGTGAGATACTGGTGGTAGCATTAAAAGGAGGTGTCTGCATCTCCCTACTTATCTCTCTAAATTAGAAGAAAGGAAAGCAGGCTAGGTAGATACCTGTTTCTCCCAGCCAGGAATCCTGACTTTGATAAAGTTTGGGATTTGGAAACTCACACACCTATTTTTCTTGCACAGAAAGTAGGGGTGACGGGTCCCCCTGATCCACAAGTCCGCTGCCCCTCTGTCATCGAGTTCGGGAAGTATGAAATCCAAACCTGGTACTCCTCCCCATATCCACAGGAATACTCAAGGTATGTTGTGCCAAACCCTCCCCTTCATTCCAGGTTACCATTCATGGAATTGTTATACTCTGGTAGGTGTAGAAATCCTGGACTTATTCAACTTGAATTTAGTGCACAGAGCACCCCTAGACATTCCAAATGCCCTTTATGATAAATAAGGGAACGAGTGCCTTGGAGTCTCCTTAGCCTCAGGATTCATAAGCTTTGTAACAATACCTGTATACTACAAATATTCAAAAAGTGTTCAGAAGGTGCGGTGCTACAAGTGGGCAGAAAATGAGATTTTGGGTTACGAAATGAGAGAGCCCATGAGCTAAGTGATTAGTAGCATGCTATCCTAGCTGACTGGAGAGCTTGGCTTTGTGGTCTTACCCGCTTTTTAATTTTAGCATACATCATGATATTAATAATGAGCAGTACAGACTGAGCGGATGTGGTCTTTGTTATAAAATCTGAATTCGGGCTTGAAATGGCAGTACTTATTCTTGAAGGAGATGTAAAAAGTGGTAAGCAGACAAAATTGCTGAGAAGAGTTTTGTTGCACTTGTGCTATGTGAATCATACCTAAATTACTGTAGTTTTCAAATGCTGTTTTTTAATCAGTTTATTGCCTCATTTTTACCAAATATTAATATACCAAGTCTTTTCTTCATCACCTGCAGCTGCCATGTAAGAAAGAGAAACTTGTGTTTGGCTGCTTTGATGTTATTTTCTACATAGCGATAACCTTGTAGGCTGTCTAAGCCACAAGCACCCCCAGCGTTGAATAGGACGTCAGTTAGAATGTGAACCAACTTCAGACAGAGCCTCAAAGCAAAAAACCACAGAAAAATCTCTCCTACTAGCTCACGGGACAAGTTGGGTTGCTTTAAAAACGAAACTCTTAATTATCACATGCACTAGATTGATTTAAATGTATCATTTGTACCACAACTGGACTATGTAACAAATTAAATAAAAGCTAGACTCATCATCACCCGCCACACTGGAGTGAATGGCTTGAGCAGGCAAGGCTTTAAGAGATTAAAGATGGGGAAAATGTAGGAAACCTTCATCTAACACATCTTGTCACTCCCTAGTACAGAACTTCTCCTTGTAAGATTTCACAAGTATTTTAATTGATTCATGCCCTTCCCTTGAAGTATCATTTCATAGTTCAGCAGAGCTCATTATTTAGGGCACTGAATAGATGTAGACTATTCGCTTCTCAGCCTCTTGAAGGCTCAGATCATGTATATTCATAGCAGTATAAGCAAATAGTGTGCTGTTAATAAAATCTATATGCCTACATACCTGGAAGTTGGCTATTTATTAAGGCTGCTTTCACCATGATATCCTTTCCCTTAAACATTTTTAACAGCACCGGAAAGTTTCATACTTTGGCCGTTATGAAGAAAGTCACAATGCACATGTAGATTCTGATGATCTTTTACCTTTGCTTACAGGCTGCCTAAGTTGTATCTTTGCGAATTCTGTTTAAAGTATATGAAAAGCAGAACTATCCTCCAGCAGCACATGAAAAAATGTGGCTGGTTTCATCCCCCAGCCAATGAAATCTACAGAAAGAATAATATTTCAGTTTTTGAGGTAAGTTAGAACAATGGCTTGTAGCTACTGCTTTCAGGACTTCAAGGGGTGATGCTCCTGCTTTTGAACCATTTAGATACATAACTTGGTCATTCACATATCCAGAATGATTTGACGCTGTAAAGAGTGAAGAACTGAACAATAGCTCTCTGTTAATAGTGCTGAGGCTGGGAGTAGATTATTAAACTAATCTATATTAAAAACATGTTCTTCCTAAACACGTGTTACTCTTCAGAAAATAAGTTGTAGTTTCTGCTTCTGGCTGTCTAGTAGAACAGAATGCAGTCTTCCGTTATACCCCGTCTGTTTTAATCTTTTGATCTGGTAGCCTTTTCTTTAGTGTTTGAGGGTTAGACCAATGTGAGATACCAACAGAATCAGATTACTGTGGTAATGATAGTGATGTCATTTTTTGTCCATTTCTGTAAGGTTGATGGCAATGTCAGTACCATTTACTGCCAGAACTTGTGCTTGCTGGCAAAGCTTTTCTTGGACCATAAGACGCTTTATTATGATGTGGAACCATTTCTCTTCTATGTGCTGACACAGAATGATGTCAAGGGCTGCCACCTTGTTGGCTACTTCTCCAAGGTAAGTATTTTAGTGTGGAATAAACTTACATTCAGACATGATGCTGTGCCTTGTCTGTGCCCATCTGGGATACAGTGTTGTCAAAAAAAAAAAAAAAAGTCTCTCAGTTGCAAGGAAGGGGTATATTTCTTGCCAATGACTCTAGATAAGAGAAATTCAGAGGCCTGCAGCAACTAATAAAGCTAAGTTACCTTTTAATATTGTTGAAGAGAGCCTATCCTCAAAGGAACTTGTGCTGCAGTTAGCAGCTCAAAGGGAGAAGTTTTAGATGACTTCCTATTCCCTTGGTGGTGATAGGTAGAACCGTTTATGAAGTAAACATTATTGTTGCCAGAACAGAGCTATCTGAGTGCTTCCTAACCAGATACAATCTTTGCTTGATCTGCAAGTTGCATCTCATTTCGAACCTTTTAATTTTCATGCTGGGAATGCAGAGATCTTAGTGATGCTTAAAAGACCTTGACTTTCAAACAGCCCTGTTTTAAAGACTCTGAGTCTCTTTTTCTCCAGCAGTAGTTGTTTTGCTTGCCATCCAGCCATCAGAGCAGCCATGGCAAAAAATAAACCCAGCAAAAACCTCTGATGACTAATCCATGCTTTTTCTTCCCGCGTCCAGCACACATTAGACTGGATTTTGGGTGCATGTCCTAGTACCGTGAATATTGAATCACTTGAGATTTGCACCAGTAGCTGGCAAATAAAAAATCTAGTCCAGCCTGCTTAGCACCTCCATTTGTGCACTTTTGAAAGATTAGTGAAGACTGAGATTCCTCCTCCTGAGATTTGTATCTCTTGTGTTGTTTCTAAGAGGAAGAAAGTAGCAGGTGCCTCTCTCATTCTTTTCATTCACTTAAGGTGGTGGTTTTAATGGCCATGACAATGATTTGATACTGTTCCAACTTCTCTCATTGGAGACTTTCCTTTGCTGATGTGCATTGAAGTCCCCAAGGAGCTGTGAGCATGGCTTTCATTTTTGGTCTTTAGTTCAGGGTTAATTACTAGCTCTTACGCAGTGGCTCCTTTTCTGTCTAAGCAGTCCATTGTTTTGAAAGTCTGTTTCTCTTTCCTCTACCAGGAGAAGCATTGCCAACAGAAGTACAATGTTTCCTGTATAATGATTCTCCCCCAGTACCAGCGTAAGGGCTATGGCAGGTTCCTCATTGACTTCAGTAAGAATTGTTTTCTCATTTTTTCACCTTTTCATATTGGTTCATCTCCTCGTGTTTTTAAGAAAGGACTGAATCAGGGGGGAAACATGCAGGCTTCTAGTAATTTTCCTGTGCTAAATGGTTCTCGGAACAAGCAGATTCTGGAGCACGTGAAGCCCTCCAAACTTGAGAGCTGCTCTCTGTTCTGGTGGGAAGCAAATTAATTATTCTCCCTCTGAGTCCCACAAATGCCTCATGCTAAAAACTGTGAAGTTGCACCAGCACAGACCTCCTGGCAGAAGCTTGCCCTGCTGATACAGTTGTTTTTTTCAGAAAAAAACAAAACTACCTATGGAAGCTGCCGACTGCCAAATTAAGTGTCAGATCATTTGTAAAACAGGTGCTGCTAGTAGTTTGTTTGAGCTTTTGATTTGGTCATAAAAACACCTGCACATAGATTGCAAGCTTCTGCCAGTTTTGCTGTTGAAGTCTGTGTTTGCATTTGCCATCAACTCAAGCTTTCTCCTGAGCAACAGTTGCAAACTCAAATGGGAATGCACCCTGCACATTGGTCAGTACCTGGATGCCCATCAGGGACATGCCTGCAAAGGGCAGCTTACCATCAGAGCTATCTCAGTGTACTTGAGATACTACTCTTGTTTTACCTGTATCACTTCCCCTGTGAACATGCTAATTCTGGAGCTAGTGTCCACAGAGAGAGGCATGCTGGTATAAAAATGCCAGGGCATGGACACATGAGCAAGTTATCATGAGGTAAATGAAGGGAGGGGTTTTATAGTACCTGAGCTACTCAGTGGTAGCTACCCACATGCATGCTTGTACCCTGAGGTCTGTGAAAGCTGACCGTGTAGCTTACACTTTTATTTGTCTTGGGGTAACAGTACGCACACGGGCAGTTGCCAAAGAGTAGTTGATGCTCTATTAGGGATGTAAGTACCGATTAACTAAAATATCAATTTAACCTCTTGTAATTACAACAGTTAAATGATTAATCATTACAGCAGCCCCAGGACAGGTGAGAGGGGATGGGGGAACTAGTACTTAATACAGGGGTGAGCAAAATACAGCCCACCGGATCTAGCTGCCAAGGGATTTTGTCCCAGCTGTGGCCGGTCCCTTGGCCAGTCCTGGCCCAGGGGCTGGTCCCACTGTTCCTGGGCACACAGCAGGGCTGGGGCGCTAGGGCAGCCAGACTTCACTTCCCAGCGGCAACCGCCAGACCCACACCAGCTGCCCAAGCACCCTGGCACATCTGCCTTGTACCGCCGGGGTGGGACCCACGTGGGCAGGGTGTCCTGCCAAGTGGCTAGGATGGGGCCATGGGTTGATGGAGAGTGACATCTGGGAGGGGTATGGGTGGGCAGGCCTAGGACTGGGATTGTGGGGCTGGGGGTCAGGGCAGACCCACAGTCCACTGCCTACATATCTCTACAACAATGGCACTGATTCCATGGGCAGTGGCATGCCAGGAGCAGATCGCTGCTGTGCCCCGAGCCCTGGACTATGGCCTCGTGCTGTCACTGCCCAGCGATCCTGGGGTCTCCAGGGAAACCAGCCAGGACCTGGGCAGGTGGGGAGCTGCTTCCAGAAGTGTGGTGGCTGCGGCCAGGATCTGGGGGCATTGACGGCTCACGGCTGGGATCCAGGATAGAACTGCAATCCACTGCCCACATGCTCCTGCCAGCAGAACCATCACCCGTTATGGGAGCATGCAGGGAACAGAGAGCTCTGCCTTCAGCCTGTGTTGTCACTGCCCCAAGATCCTGGCCCTGCCTGCCCGTCCCATTCCTGGATGCTGCTCCCCACCAGCCCACGGTGGCATCCCAGCCACCCAGCCCAGCATGGAGGAGAGCCATTTAGGGAGTTTTTGTGGGGTGGGGGTGCTGACCTGGTTTGGGACAGCTCACCAAAACTCCCTATGTGGTCCTCAGGCCCAAATAATTGCCCGCTCTGCTAAACTCTGCAGATCCTGGGGCAGCTGCTTACAGCATCCCCACTGCCTGCCTTGAGCAGCCCAGGCTCTATGGCAGGCAGCAGGGGCCTGCCTGGACCTCAGGCTGCTTGTGGCAAGGAAGCTGCAAGCATCTGCACCAAGGTCCCATGGAGCCTAGCATAGGTACTAATCCTCCCCTCCTTCCTCCCTCCCTCCTGCCTGGCCTGCCACTTTCCTGTTCCTGCTGGGGCAAAGTGTGGCTACCCTTCCCTGTCAGACTGCACCCCTGCTAAACAATAACCGGTTGGCTAGAACCAGTTATCGCTGGGCTTATCGGTTAAGCAATTCATTGTTTAACCGTTCATCTCCTTATGCTCTATATACATTCCCATCCTCGCATATCTCATGGTAGCATCTTTGGTGTGCTCTCACCTCCAGTATAGTTAGGTTTGAAAATTCTGGTATCCGTTCTTCATACTCAGTACCCACAGGTCTGCTCCAGTCTGCTTTCACTCTGTCTTTACTTTTTCTAGTTAGGCACTTGGGGCATCTTTACACGTGCTCTGGGTTGGGCGGGGAGGGAGGGGGAAGCGTTCGGGAGCTGCTGTAATTAAAACGCCCTCAGCGTGTCGTGTATTCAGCATCCTGTGCTTCAGAGTAGTGGCAGGGGGGGGTTGACTCAAAAGCT